GAAATTCACTTTGACCATTTTTGATTGTAGATTGCTGCAACAGGTAACTCAACTTTTTGATACAACCTGTTGAGGTTATTAAACAAAGCATCTGAAATGCCTGTTTTACTCTTAGGTATTGTGAAATAACTATGTGGTTTACTCATTTTAATCATCTTATTTTTTTATCAACACAAAGTGAACCATTTAAGTCAAGGATGATTACATGAGATTGTATAGGGGCAATGCCTAAAAGCCCGCCAAAGGCTTAAGGATTATATATAAATAACTAAAAATTGACTTTTATGCAACTACAGTCAAGGTTTTGTGGATAATTAACAATTATTAGTACTTTAGTCGTAAAGATGCCAGAAGACAAAGGTAGAGCTGTTTCATGAGGGTCAAAAAAGTCCCGAAATGCATTAAAAAATGCTCCTAAGGCACACTGGACTATTTACAAAAGTCACACAAACGACTAGAAGGAAGCCTGTATGATCAGCTGTTTAAGGCCGCTTTCTTACTCTGTTTCATGACTATGGACAGTACTGCGGTCGCCATTTTTTGACAAACAACTAGTTTAATTTTGCAGCAAATGCAAGGAGACTTTGACCTTTTTTACTGCACTAACACCAGTGTTGTTTTCGTTGACGATGACATTGACAGAAATATTTCATCGTCACTGTCAACGAAAGCAACACTGCGAATATATGTTTAACGTTTGATGAAATGCTCATGAATTTTTCAACTCTGTTCGTCTTCCACCACTAATGTTTTCGTATCGTCTCGTCAACGTATACATGCATTCATCTCGTCACATTTTAGTGATCTAAGACATATGTTTAGCTTGTCAACGTCACGTCTTCGTCATGGAAAAAAGAAAACAACACTGACTAACACCCGCATGTACACTGCAGAGCTTACAATCATTATATGACAAATTATAGCTGCATGCATCAAACTGATAATCTACGATCTTCTACCAGAGGTGTGGCAAAACAAATATGATTTTTTGATAGTGACAAAGAAGGTGATGGATTCAACCGTGAAGGAGCTGGTCCCATCCTGAGGGGTTTGGGATCCTGTTCCAGCAAGATCTGGTACAAATTTAGCCTCAACAGTGATGTAGCAGAAAGAAGAAAACTCTCTGCTTTCTCAGTCTCACAGCAGCATGTGGTCGTCTCACCCCAGATCTTTGTCAGAGGTGTGCTGTTTGCTTCTGTCCAAACCACCCTCCAGACCTGCTGTGTGTGACTCGGTCTCTTTGAGCGCCAGGGCTTTTGCTATCGTGCAGATGCCAGGCCTTCCTAAGAGGGCTTCTCGGGGCAATCCCGGTTACAAGCTCTGGTGTTAACCCGCTGGAGGACTCTTATCACCTACATGTCATGTTCGCATTTTCCCTGCAGTTCTACCAGCTCCCTCACCGCCATCTCAACACCCTCCTAAGCTCCACCCTTGACGGCCACTTTTATCTAAAGCACTAAAGTGGCAAACATATTTGTCCAGAGCTTTCCCACAGTCTCAGCGGTTGGAAAGTGGAAGAAGCATCTGCAGTGTAAGACAGAACAGGAGCCAGTTTGTCCGCACGGAGCCCCAGGTTTTAAGTGTGTACACGGGCCCCACTGGGTTGATGCCCCAGTTTCCTACGCCAGTTTTTGCACCGATAAGAGCAGAAAGGTGCAAAGTACTTTCTGCTAAATTTTCAGATTTCCTCCCATGTTTCCATGTACTTCTGTCTTTATCATCTCCATTCTCCACCTGCCAAAAGACCATAAGAATCTGCTCAGTATCGGGCACAGGGACTAGAAAAAATACAGGGTCAAAACCCCGGCTGGTCCAGTTTTATTTCCTCTGTTGTGCCTGAAAGTTTCTGTTGTGTTGGTCAGGGGAAGTTGGCTTAGTGCCCCCCATCGCCTTTGACGACTGTCAGGGCTTTAATGTTCTTTTGTGGATTTTTTGGGTCACTGTCAGAGAGACTGAGAGAGTGTGTGAGGGAAATTTAAATGTGGCTCCAGAAAGACGAGGAGCGAATACTGAGTGGCTGCTTCTCTTCGGGGGGAAATGTGGAGTTTTTGTCCTAATTACTGGACTTAAATCCAGTCTTTGATGCTTCTGGAAAATACTTGGGTATCATTTTTTTCAGTATGCACGTATACTACATAGTTTATGGTTAAAAAAAATGTCTAATAATTATGTATCCTGGAAAAAGTAGTGGGTTTTATGTTACTGATTATGTGTTCTGGACTTCAGATTTGGAGATTTCTAGAATAATGATGTGCAACAGTCTTGGTTTTTCCCATTTTTTTCTCTGTTTGCTGTGGAAACTTCCTATGTTAGCTCTAGTGGGCCATTGTCAAGACACCCTTCTCCACCTCATGTTGGCACCTTTTTCCCTCCTTGGGGATTATGAGCTGTCAATGGGCCCCTCTGCTCCACACACACACCCTCATACCCTGCACACACACTGCAGTCGCTGCTCAAATCTCTAGTTCTTAGGGTGCTGTGTATGATAGTGACTGGGCGAGCTTGGGGCTTGATTAGTGCAGTTAGCCCTTCTAAGGCTCTGGCTGTTTACAGTGGATTACAGGGAGGGAGGCAGGGGTTAAGTCTACCCAGGCACCATGCCTCTCCCCCCCTCCTCACTCTCTCTCCCCCCACGGGAGCCACTGCAGCAGGGCTGGCAGCTCGTCTGGGCTCCCCATCACAAGGCCAGGCTGACAGGTAGCGGGATTTGGCAGAGCAGTTTGCATGAGAGCCAACAAGAAAAACTGAACATGGCGGATTAGTTCGGGATTATGTTGTCAGAGTTAGCCTTGACGGACAAACTGCAGAGGAATAAATTGCAATCTGTTTGAGGAGCGCGCTGCCACGCAAACAGGAGAGGCATCGGCTCGTCTCGCAGCCTGTCCAAAATGACAGCGAGGGTAGAAAATCATTAATAATTTATAAACAAAGACCGCGGCCATTACTGACGCCTGCCCACTGCGGCTGGACAAGATGTCTGGTTGTCTAAACCCTCACATCAGGGGCTGGTTCGTGTTGGAAACCAAAAGTGACAGGGCAGGTATGAAGATAAGAGAAGGTTATACTGGGAAAAGCTCGTAAACGAACCATCCACTCCTGTGATTTAGTGACCATCACCCCGTCTCTGATAAAAGCAGTGAGTGAAGAGCAGCTGGTCGGGTCTAGCTGACTACTTTCACCACTTGATGAGGTTTTAGTCAGGCCTTACAACTCACATGTCTGGGTGTATAAGGCAGGATATTTAAGATGCGTGAGAAAACAGTGTCATCAATACAGATCTCAAACATCAGTGGAGGCTTTTAGCTTCTTTCTTTGGCTTTTTCTGTTTGATTCTTACTAATATTGTCACAAGATGAGGTTTTCATCTTTTGGTGGATATATGGAAAGACAAGGCAAGGCTGGAGAAACATGTCTGTGAATTTTACTACCAAATGCATTTCACCTACTTGTGTTACGAATGATGCAGTTAGCATGAATTCATGATGCATTCAACACCATACTCACTCCATTAGCTTATTAGCTTAGAGTTGAAAAAATAGGAACTCCAGTGAATCACTTGCACCATAATATCATGGAGATGGTGATTGTAGAAGGTTTTATATTGCGATCAAGTCTTCTTTACTCACGCATCATACACACCTTCTTCTTCTGATAATCCAACTCTATCCTAACTCCACCTAGTGGGCACATGTACTATAACACTGAACATCTGTACGGTAATGTAAGTCATCATTTAACAGGTGGAGGTTCATTCATCTAAAAAATGTAGAAAAAAAAGATTGTAATGGTGTATGGCTACCCTGGGCAATACGATACAGTTTGTTTTTATATCAAAGCAAAGTGGTCGGGAGCTTGGTTCATCTGGGACGCTGTGAAACAACAAATCCTCATCGTCAACTTAGTTTGATGAAAACAGACTAAAAAGGAAACCTCTCCTCACTTACATCAGTTTGCTTCTCTGGGCTTTTCTATGTAAATGACATGGCAAATGAATGGGGCGAGTTATTCGTGTGGAGACAACTAGCTAACACTTTATTCAAAGTAAATTTTTATTCAATTTGCGTCCAGTGTGAACACGACATTATGAATTATCCGCATGACCAGCCTCAGAAAGAAAGTCAATGAAAACTGAGTTTGCATCACGTTTCTTTGAGAAATCCAAAAACTCAAACCTGTCATCTCCCGAGACATAAAGCAAGAACCATTACAACTGCTATGAAACAGTTAGTTACACGTACTGTCTGCTCATGTTGGCACAATATCATAATTTTGTTTTTGTTTTTCTTTTAAATAAGACAATTATCATTATTATCAGTATACTGGAACAGCCGTTGTTCAAGCACTGCCACAGGATACAGGTGCAACCCTTGGCTCTATTGTTTTATTTATACTTAAATCTAGAAAAGTCCTGATTATTTGAGTGTATTTTATATCAAATGATCCAATATCTATATTGAGAAACGATAAAAAATAATAAATTAAGGAAAAAACTGTCTGGCTGGTAATGTTTTACAGGGTGAAAAAAGTGCCAACTTTTAAAATGAGAAACTTTTCCTACACAAAAAAGCTATTCAGCAATAAAAAGCTGCACATTTCCCAATAAAATAATCGACACTGCAGCAGCTGAATGTCATTTCCTCTGTTTTCCTCTCACATTCACGTTTTTCTTTATTGGAGAATTGAATCTGCTTCGACTCGACAGCGTGCAGCAGCAGCGTTCTCTCACCGAGGACTGACTGGCATGGTAAAAAGTATTAATGAGCTTTATTGCATTCTCTCCTCTCCTGCATCATTAGGAATGCATGTCTGTATGTTAACCCTCTGGTTCATAGTGGTCACTACAGTGGACAGCTACCAAAAACTCTTTTTCTCTTAAATGCAATGGTTTCTATGGTGGAAGTGTGTATCAGCCTCTAGAGTGCTCTCTACTGCCCTACTCCAATGAGTTACATTTAGTGATCAATCAGGGTAACTGCAAGTAAATTTCCTACAAATCCAAGATGGCCGAGAAACAGCCACCCCTGCCGACCACAGCTGGCATGTCCTGTCAATACTTCTATAGTAAAAGAACCCCAGAGGTAAAAAAAATATGATGATATACTGTAACATCTTAGGAAGGTTATTATCCGTTTGGAATTTAAATTTTTATGTCCAATATGTAGAAAATTACGATTAACCATGTGTCCAACTGAGTGGACATCATGCATCACCCAGTATTTTTTTTAACAGGAGTCATGTAATTGCTCCACTGTTACTTGTGACTGTTTTGGTTATAAATCAGTGTATAACTGTTACATATATAAGCTATTCATTTAAAATATACTTTTTCTTTCATCTTAGCTATAGTTTGTGTTACTATAATAATTATTTTATCATATTTTGTAGACGTCAAACACAGCAAAGAATAAGGCAGCCTACAGAATAGTCCAGGAAATTCCATCCAGCTCTAGTGATGATGAGTCCAGTGATGACTATAGTGACGAAGAGTGGCTGCCAGAGAAGAACAGAGATGTAGGAGCTGAGGATGATGGCGATACAGACAGTCAGGATGCAGAAAGTGTAGATGCCTATAGTCAAGAGGATGAGGACCAGGATAATGAGAGGCAGGATGCAGGGGAAGGTCAGCATGATCAGGAAGCTGTGGAAAATGGCCACATGACACCTGACCATTCTCAAGCTCGCAAAAATATCTGGAAAGTCCAAGACAACGACTTTGATGGAGATTTGCCTCCTTTTCTAGGAGAGTGGAGATTGAATGTGGAGGGGAGAGAGCCCATAGATTTCTTCAGACATCTGTTTCCAGCAGATCTCATTGATGATATAGTGATCAACACCAACCTGTATGCTCTCCAGAAAGGGAAAGAAAATCTCGCAGTGACAGGAGAAGAAATGCAGACTTTTTTAGGGATCAACATGATCATGGGGTACATTCGTTACCCTAGGGCACGAATGTACTGGTCTAGTGAGGAGGGCCTTCGTCTAGGGATGATTGCAAATGCCATGTCTGTAAACAGATATGAGCAAATCCTGAGATACCTGCACTTTGTGAATAACTTGACTTATCACCCAGGAAACAAGGATAGGCTCTTCAAAATAAGACCACTGCTTAGTGTGCTTGAGGAAACATTCAAGGCAGCAGCAGACCCTGAGGAATTTCAGTCAGTTGATGAGCAGATGATTCCTTTTAAAGGCCTACTGTCCATCAAACAATACATACCAAAAAAGCCAAAACCCTGGGGAGTGAAAGTGTGGGTGAGGGCAGGAAGCTCAGGCTATATGAACCGATTTGAAGTCTACCAAGGCTCCGCAAGCAGTGGTCGGATCAGTAAGTTGGGAATGGCTGGAGATGTGGTGATGCGTCTTTGTGACGACATAAAACACAAAAATCACAAGGTGTTTTTCGATAACTTCTTCTGCAGTATTCCACTCATCGAGGCCTTGAAAGACCAAGGCATCTATGGTACAGGTACATGCAGAGCCAATAGGCTAAAGGGAGCAAATCAGAAACTAAAAAGTGAAAAACAACTAAAAGAAATTGGCAGAGGAGCTTGTTCTGTTGTCAGCAGTAATGAAAACATCACTGTCACACGTTGGCTTGACAGTTCAGTCATCCACATGGTCTCGTCCTGTGCTGGCCAGTCCCCAGAAGATGTTGCACACCGATGGGTCAAGAAGGAACAAATGATGGTCAGGGTCCAAAAACCCTTCTCTGTGGCCCTTTACAATCAACACATGGGTGGGGTTGATCTCGTTGACCAGTGCCTGGCAATGTACCCCCACAGACGTCGAAACAAGAGGTGGTACATCCGAGTGTTTTTTCATTTTTTGGATGTGGCCATTGTAAATGCCTGGCGTCTCTACCTGATGTCTGGATTGGACAAGATGAGTCTCCTCCTTTTCAAAGCTTCTGTGGCTCGTGCACTGATAAATAGTGGCACCCTCCAGCTCAGCAGAGGAAGAGGAAGACCCAGTGCGACCCCACCACCCGTGAAGCGGAGAGCAGTCACCAAAGTAGCCCGTGAGGTCAGGTTTGGCACAGGAAACCACTGGCCCCAGCTCACCGAAGTGAAAAATGCAAACAGATGCCATGATGCTGCATGCAGGCGGAAGACCAAATACATCTGCATGCATTGCTCTGTGCCACTGTGCCCTGGATGCTTTGCGAACTTTCATACATCCTAGGTGTGATGAGCAGAGACATGTTTGGAGATTCAGGGACTAAAATGTCAGTTTTTGTTGTTGAAAACAACATGCTTGCATAAGGGCAAGGTAATGTCAGTCCTGAATCCTGATAGTACTGTGGGGACAAACAATACTGTTTCCAATGTTGCCAATAGTTTGGCATATTTAGGTGTACTGTACTTTTTACAGTAAGTTCACAATGTTTTGTGTTGAGTGCTCAGGCGCATATAGTCCACCTGAATGGACACTTCTGTACTTTTATGAAATAATAACATTTTTGGAAAAAAACAGTTTAAAATGTTCTTTCATGTCCTGAGAATAATAAAAACACTTATGAAAAAAATCTTGATCAGGGCTTTCATAATTCATGCATCAGAGGGTTAAACATATGAATATGCATCGGCATAGAGCATTTGTTCTCAGAGTTAGCGGCGAGCCAGCGCTGTGCCTGGAATAATAATACAGTGGAGAAATGAGCTGCATTTTCTTTGCCTTTGCCACATAATTGAAAAAAAAAGATAATAAGAGATCATTTATTTTTTTAATTTCATCAGAGAAGTGAGTCTGAATATCAAATTACGCTCTGATAAGGAAACTCCATTTTATTCAAGGCGATGTTTGCTCCTCTGATACAAATCCTACTGTTGCATGTTTACATTAATTTAGTAATGTGCGTATTTTTAATCTTTGCAATGTATCTTTAAATACATCAGCTTGATTTCAGTCTGTAGCCACGAATGAACGACGTCTGCGGTTCTCGCTGTCAGACTGAGGGTGATCCAGGGGTCAGCAGAGGTCTCTGGATAAAGGTTAACAAATTACCACGATGCCTCTCAGACCTGATTGATGTCGAGTGGGGGGAGGAGGATAAGCACAGGGGTGAGGTCAGGATAAGGTATGCCTGGAGGTAAAGATCCTCTGCAAAAGGCGGAAGAAATTTCAGTTAAATGTTGCAGAAAAAAAGATAGACGTGCGAGGACAGACTCTTCTTCTACAAGTGGGCGACTTTTGCACAACCTTCTGACTAATGCACAAGTGAAATACTACAATTCAGCTGTGGCATAACGGCAAGACATGAGGAAAAATATAACATGGAAGTCTGTGTACAGGAAGACATATTGCCAACAGGTGTTTAAGTTAGTTAACAGATTTTGTTATATGGGGATGTAGAAGAAAATCATAAATATAAGTGGCAGTCTGTGCATAAATAAATGGGAATTTTATTATTGCACATGTGGCGGCATCATACTCTCTCTCTTTGCGTTGTGTATTTCACAGAAGACGACCATCACAGTTGGCACTTTTGTTTATTTTACATCTGGCAGAAGAATAACAGCACAGTTCAGTCACTTCTGGGTTCCTCACACACATACATGTCTGACAATAGTAAAATGAAAAGAGAGGTTTGCTAACCACGTGCAGCATTAGCTACTTTATACCCAAAAATACAAATAAACCGCTGTCAACTCTTTATAAAAAAAGGACATGCTTGACTGTTCCTGAGCTATATATTTAACAAGAGACAACTTAAACCGTCCCCTTTAATTAAAATTAAAGTAATTAGCATAAACAATGACGGAGCTCATGATTTGTGCACCTACCAGGGAGACAGCAAGGTCGGACTGCTGCTACCCCCCAGGATGCACGACCATAATCCACCAGGTCGCTGCATTTCCTTAATTTTCAGTGTTGTGTGATAAGTTTTTATAGCAAGTGGAATCACCTACTTCTTAACTCCATTACACACAGTTATATTTTCATATACACCAAAACTTGATGATCAACAAACAGCTGAAATACAGCAGGACACATCTCCTATCCGTCTGACAGTGTTGTATGCTTTAAATGATCTCCTGCAAAGTCAAACTGATAAAGAAAGAGGGGTAGATACTTAAGCTTCGCCTAATTCTAAGACACTATGAAATAAATAAACTAAACATGCATATTATACTTCCTCTTTAGTTCTACTACCACCTCTCCTTGTACTGTCAGTGTCCTCTTGCTTTGGCCTGCAGGAGACCTGTTATTCATTCTCCACACACAACTCTCCAATGATAACAGCCGCCGCTCCTCGAGAACAAAGACGCTATCTGCGCTCATCAGGCAGCGTGTTATGAGAGCGGCTGACACGCAACAGCGAAGAGAGGGAGGAACTGAGGCTACTGATTTACTGACAGGACAATTAGAGGGAGCAAATCTGCTATCGGAGAGAAATATTCCAGATAGGGTGGGCATGCAGCAGGGTGGCAGACCCTCCAGGGGGGAACAGTCGGCCAGTGGGGCGCCATGTGGGTGTTCAGGCTGATTGATTTATCTGGATGAAGGTGAGAAAAATAGATGTGTCAGGGTTTTATACTTTCACCGAGCTTTTACAGCTCTTTACGAGCCAAGAAACTGCAGCGTAAACGGACAGTAAAGGTTTTAATACTGCTAAAAGACGTTGAAAAAAGATAGTATCACTCCTGAAGTCTCTGCTCCCACAAAGCAACAATCCTGAGGATCATCCCATCCATGTTTTCAAAGTCTGGAAAGATAAACTCCAGAATATTTTCCAGGACAAACAGAGTCTTTTGGAAGGAGACCAAAACCCCAGGAGCAAGTTAAACATTTTCCGAGCTCATCCTCGCTCAGTCCCCACTGCAAATAAATAAATCTGCTGCGTCCGTACATGCACCTTTGGCCTATGCTGACTCCAACCTCTGGTTATCACAGTCTCCCTTTGATTTGCAAACGCTATTATCTTTCGCTCTCCAGTGCAGGAAGAGTAAACAGTAGCCGCGCAGAATCAAATGTCTTCTTAAATAAACTGAATTGTCTGATGATGTTTTAATGGGAAAACCTCAATCCCCTGGGCAGTGACCCCTCAGAGTATTTTTCAGCCATGTACTCTGCACAGGGTGCTGAGATGTAATTGCTATGTACATACCAGGCAATTCTCTGGTTTCCACACTGCAAAAAATGTCCAGACTGACACGATGGTTTATGAGGCCATTGTAGGAGGGGAAATAAACACAGCACAGAGTTTTTCTGGGTGATAAATCGCTATTTCAGTGATTTAAGATGGCTATTAATGATAAACAGCCATGCTTTAAATATGTAAGACTGAAATTTGCAGTTTGTGAATAACTTTAAATGGAGGTTTTGTCTGAATGTTATTAGGCTTTTACACGGAAATCTACCACAAAGTATCAGCTACCTTGTTGTCTGCCCCATATCCACAAAAACTTAATTATCAACAAACAGCTGAAATACAGCGGGACACATCTCCTATCCGTCTGACAGTGTTGTATACGTTAAATGATCTCCTGCAAAGTCAAACTGATAAAAAAAGAGGGTCTAGATACTTAAGCTTCGCCTAATTCTAAGACAGTATGAAATAAATATCCTAAACATGCATATTTTACTTCCTCTTTAGTTCTACTACCACCTCTCCTTGTACTGTCAGTGTCCTCTTGCTTTGGCCTGCAGGAGACCTGTTATTCATTCTCCACACACAACTCTCCAATGATAACAGCCGGCGCTCCTCGAGAACAAAGACGCTATCTGCGCTCATCAGGCAGCGTGTTATGAGAGCGGCTGACACGCAACAGCGAAGAGAGGGAGGAACTGAGGCTACTGATTTACTGACAGGACAATTAGAGGGAGCAAATCTGCTATCGGAGAGAAATATTCCAGATAGGGTGGGCATGCAGCAGGGTGGCAGACCCTCCAGGGGGGAACAGTCGGCCAGTGGGGCGCCATGTGGGTGTTCAGGCTGATTGATTTATCTGGATGAAGGTGAGAAAAATAGATGTGTCAGGGTTTTATACTTTCACCGAGCTTTTACAGCTCTTTACGAGCCAAGAAACTGCAGCGTAAACGGACAGTAAAGGTTTTAATACTGCTAAAAGACGTTGAAAAAAGATAGTATCACTCCTGAAGTCTCTGCTCCCACAAAGCAACAATCCTGAGGATCATCCCATCCATGTTTTCAAAGTCTGGAAAGATAAACTCCAGAATATTTTCCAGGACAAACAGAGTCTTATGAGTCGAATCTCAAAATAACAAAAGGTTATTTGTAGTGCAGTTTATCATCTGTAATCAATACTCCTCACTATGGCTAACATCAGCAAAATCTGCTCTGAAACCAGCATGAATGGGACTCTTTGGCCTATGCTGACTCCAACCTCTGGTTATCACAGTCTCCCTTTGATTTGCAAACGCTATTATCTTTCGCTCTCCAGTGCAGGAAGAGTAAACAGTAGCCGCGCAGAATCAAATGTCTTCTTAAATAAACTGAATTGTCTGATGATGTTTTAATGGGAAAACCTCAATCCCCTGGGCAGTGACCCCTCAGAGTATTTTTCAGCCATGTACTCTGCACAGGGTGCTGAGATGTAATTGCTATGTACATACCAGGCAATTCTCTGGTTTCCACACTGCAAAAAATGTCCAGACTGACACGATGGTTTATGAGGCCATTGTAGGAGGGGAAATAAACACAGCACAGAGTTTTTCTGGGTGATAAATCGCTATTTCAGTGATTTAAGATGGCTATTAATGATAAACAGCCATGCTTTAAATATGTAAGACTGAAATTTGCAGTTTGTGAATAACTTTAAATGGAGGTTTTGTCTGAATGTTATTAGGCTTTTACACGGAAATCTACCACAAAGTATCAGCTACCTTGTTGTCTGCCCCGTTTGCTTGATTTTGCCGCCCTCACTTCTTGTTCAAGAAGACTCTTAACTCATTCAGTACCAGGTTCATTTATGCAATTTTCACCCAGTGCCACCATTGACAGCAATAGAAATATCTTTCAGGATCGACAGACTATCTTGTGCTTGGACTAGAATTAAGTGCAATATCTCAAAAGATAGTGATAGGTTACATTGTGATGGCTGGGAGTCGTATCGGCTCTCGAGAACCTGACACTGATATGTAAACCTCCTCCTTGCTGAATTCCGATTCAGTCTCGTTCACTCGTACCGGCACCGGCGCTCAACAACATGCCGGAAAAT